TGGCATGCACTCTCCTATCCCAGTCTGAGATAACAGGACAGCCAAAGTCCTGGGCTGAGTCTTCCTTCTTGTGGAGGCTGAAGGTGGCTAAAAGTGGGATTTTATTGGGATTTGACAAAACAAATCATCCACAGTGCTGTGTCGTTAAGTGCTCGCTTTGCATTATGGATGGGATCCTTCTGGTTTTCATTTTTTTGTATTGGTGATGACCCCTTTCACACAGCAAGCCTCTGAGCATGACACCCCCCCCCTTATAAATTAAAAATGTGGGGGAGGGAATTTAATGAAGGCTTGGGGCTGTCAGCCTGACAGAGCTGACAGTTTGTGACCCCCATGTAACCACCTTGCGACCCCCCGAGGGGTCACGACCCCCAGTTTGAGAACCACTCCATGATGCATCTTTTAGATCAAAAGGTACATTTGTTTGGTCACCGCTGCCCATGCTGCTGAAGGACATTTTAAGAACACTCAGGTGGATAACCCTGACAGAAAAGTTGCATTCAGTTTTCTTTTGCAGTAGATGAGGGAGGCAGTGTTGCCTAGTGAATAGATGCTGGATTTGGGAGACCTGGGCTCCATTCTTGGCTTGGCCATTGGCCTGCTCGGTCATGAGCAAGTTCCTCAGTTTATCCATCTGCAAGATGGGAATTAAAATGCTGACCTCCTGTGTAAAGCTCTTTCTCTACTGGTGAGTGCTAGGGATTAGTGTTGTTGGAGGGGCTGTCCAGCCCTTGAGGCTGGAGCTAGAGGCACAGTAAGGAGACCTTTCTGCTGTCCTGCATCATTGGGAATTCGCTCTTTGGGCACTGGCTCAGCTGTCTGCTTTCCTGTAGCATCTGGGTTGCAACAGTTTCAGCACTTATTGTCTCACTGACAGATCCTTGGCTGCCCTCCAATGGGGGTTCAAGAAGGTGGGAGTCTAATCTCCGGCATGGTGAGGGCCATTCTGACCTCATCCATGCCAGAGTGAAAGAGAAGTTACTCACTAAAGTCAATGGAGTTACAGGAGTAGCCCATGAGAGCAGAATCAGACCCAGCAATCCACTTTACGGCCTTGGGGCCAAATTCTACCAACAAAGATAAGCACTGTTCAAAGATGCCAAGTGAGACAGATGATTGAAATAGGTGGGCCTGATAGCAAACTCACCCATAAGACTGTAACTGCATTGACTTCAGCTAGGGTGACCAGACAGCAAATGTGAAAAATTGGGACGGGGGTGGGGGATAATAGGATCCTAAATAAGAAAAAGACCCACAAATTGGGACTGTCCCTTTAAAATCGGGACATCTGATCACCCTGACTTCAGCACAGTTACTCCTGATTCACAGCGGTGTAAAAGAGATCAGAATTCAGCCCATCTATTCGGAGCTGAACACACCCAGCGGCAGTTAGAATTTGGGCCTTCACCTCCGCCTTGTTTGATGCTTTGATTTAAAAGGGGGAATAGTGTCACTTCTTTTCCTCCCTGGGCTGTTGGGAATCTTAATTAAATGTGTGGAAAGGGCTTTGAGATGCTCAGATGAAAGGAGCTACAGAAATACAAGGATTATGATAATCCCTTTTCCCCCGCGTTTGTGCTGTGCCCACACACGACCCCACCCATTCACATGAGCTCATCCCAGCAGAAGGAAAGCCTTGATCGGCCTACAAGTGCCTCTCTCCTAGTGGACGTGCAGTAAGAGGAGTGGAGGGGGTGTGTTCATTCACATGGCTTTTAAATGGATGCCCTCTAAAGTGCTTAATCAGCTCAGCAGCTGCGGGCATCTGGTGCCGCATCATGTGAAAATAGCTTCTGTGCTTATTCAGAGCAATCTGAAGGGACGCCCCCCCCCCAAGAAGCAAAAGGGGAGGGACAGGGAGAAAGCAATGCATGAATATCACTGAAACAAAGCTAGGGTGACCAGATGTCCCTATTTTATAGGGACAGTCCCGATATTTGGGGCTTTTTCTTCTATAGGCGTCTATTATCCCCCACCCCCTGTCCCAATTTGTTGTCTGGTCACCCTAACAAAGACACACAGAGGAATAAAGGGAGGCAAGGACCCGGCAGCTCTGGAAGGAAAGAGCTGCCTGCCCGAGCACCATGGCAACATGCCATCAAAACTCGTCTCCACGGCTGAATCACCCTTCCCAGTACGTGATCTCAGGCATGTAGGCTGGCGCGACTTTCCCTTGCCCGTGTCCTGGGATGAGAGTTTATGAGGAGAGAGCTTTAAGCGGAGGCATGATTAATTCAATCACATTTAGATTATACAGGTTTGAGACCATGCCATCGTAACAGCGCCCGAAACAAGCCCTTCCCCCGGAATGACCTGGCCTCAGCAATCAGGTCTGACCCAATTATCTGGTCTCATGGTGCAATGGGCAAGCGAGGCAGCATCCGACAACAGACATGTGCTGGAGCGGGAACCAGAGCCCCTTGCTATAGCTCTGACAATAAGATGGAGAGAGAAGTTGGGGATGGGGTCACCTCTCTCTCCAGCCCTCCCCTCTGCCTGGCAGAGACAACTGAGCCTCACAAAGCAACTGTTTTTTTGCCTTCAGGATTAACTGAATGGTAACAAATTCTAGCCATTAAAATAAAAAATCCCAAGGGAGGCTGTCTACAGATCCTTCAAGGTCTTCACTCACCCCCCACTTGCAGTTCCCCAAGCGGAATATTATCAAGTTATTGTATATACTTCCCAGGCCTCCAGGATAAATGTTTCCAGCAACTTCATGCAAGTTTGCCAAGTGGCGTTCTTTCTTTAGATGGGAAAACAAAGGAACATAGTCCTTAGTCTATCAACAAATGCTTTCCTGCTCCAAGGATTGGTCACAAAGGAGAAATTGGTGTTTAAAATATTGGTAGCGCATCACTGGCCCATATGAGAGACCTTTACGCTAATTGCCCGGGCAGCACTTGTTAGAAAAGGAAAAAAAGTTTCTCCAATTGAAATTGCAGGGGGAAATGGGTTTACTCAAATCTGAATCTTCCCATAAAACCAGGATCCAGATTCTGGTCTCTGTGCTGCTGGTATAATTTGGTGTCACCAAGATGCATTAGCCTTTGGGCAAAGTTATCCGTGGGCTGATACGGTGAGGATGGCGTGGGATTATTGAGCATCACCCATTAATTATTTCTTGGCTTTCTCCCAATGCACCCATCCCATGCTATGGCGAAGCCAAGACTCTGCTAAACCCCACATTTCTGAACCCCACAACCGATACAACCAGAGAAAAGAAAAAGCCTCTCCGAGTCTCAGTCTAGCTAGAGCACTAGACAGTGCAAGTGTTAATAGTGATGGGTGCTACAGAAAGACCCAAAAGTCAGATATTGCATCTCCCATCTGAGGGATCTCAAAGCACTTGAGAAACCTTAATGGCTAGACAGTTCTCTTGCCTTGCATTGCCACAGAGGGATGCTAAGAAGGATGCCCTCCACACCCAGATAACCCCTTTCCTCCAGGCACATGGGAATTCTCCACACACGCATGGGCAGTGCGTCATGGAGGCTGGGGGATGCTAGGCCTCCCCAAACCTCCACTAATGCTCGGTGCCTCGGCCCCGGACCGGGCTGCAGTGGGGCTCATGGCTCCTCTGGCTGGCCAGGGCTTGGGGTGGCTCAGGCAGGCGGGCCAGGGGCAGCTCGGAGCAGCTCAGACAGGCTCGTGGTGGGGGATTCAGGGCTCCTTTGACGCTGGAGGGTGAGAGCGGGGGTGTGGGGTGAAGTGGGGGTGGGACCTTGGGCAGAAGGGGTGGGGCAGGGGGGATAGCTTCCCCGAATGGGGGGTTCACGCACTACCTATGTGCACACGCCTTCCAAGGAGCAACTGAATCATAGAATCACAGAAGATTAGGGTTGGAAGAGACCTCAGGAGGTCATCTAGTCCAACCCCCTGCTCAAAGCAGGACCAACACCAACTAAATCATCCCAGCCAGGGCTTTGTCAAGCCGGGCCTTAAAAACCTCTACGGATGGAGATTCCACCACCTCCCTAGGTAACCCATTCCAGTGCTTCACTACCCTCCTAGTGAAATAGTTTTTCCTAATATCCAACCTAGACCTCCCCCACTGCAACTTGAGACCATTGCTTCTTGTTCTGTCATCTGCCACTACTGAGAACAGCCGAGCTCCATCCTCTTTGGAACCCCCTTTCAGGTAGTTGAAGGTTGCTATCAAATCCCCCTTCACTCTTCTCTTCTGTAGACTAAACAAGCCCAGTTTCCTCAGACGCTCCTTGTAAGTCATGTGCCCCAGCCCCCTGATCATTTCCATTGCCCTCTGTTGGACTCTCTCCAATTTGTCCACAAAAATAAGGAAGTGCTATTATCCTCCTTTTACAGATGAGGAACTGAGGCCCAGAGAGGCTATGTGACTTGCCCAAGGTCACACAGGAAGTCTGTGGCAGAGCATGGAATGGAGCCCTGGCCTCGACATGCCAGTCAGCAGAGCTGGCTGGCCCATGGGGATGGGTATGATACCAAGGTTAAAGTAAGAGGGAGCAAGAAAAAGCACAGACAGCTCCCCCAGCTCTGCTGAAAGCAGAAGGTGGGACCCACCCTCCTCAGCCTGCCTTGGGGGAGCAGCACACCCCCAGTGCACCCCTACCCCATCTCCCTCTGCTCTTTGGCTGTGCAGTGAGATCTCCCCTCTCACCCGCCCTCAGTTCATTTTACTTTAACCACTGAAAAAAAAATTAAGGGGGGGGGGTATTAAGAATTATTCCTGCCTCATCCCCACTTGCTACAACCAGAGAGCCCTGGGGGGCCCTTTGGGCAGCACAGCTTGTTGCTTCAAGCTGCGCCTAGCTGGCATTATCGTAGCCCTGAGGCCAGATCAGTGTGGGGAAAGTCCTTTAGCTCCGGAACTGCCTTTAGCCATGTGGAGTCCGATGGAGATTTTACTTGGATTGTAAGCTCCTTGGGGCAGGGGCCAGCTTTGTGTTCTGTGTTTGCGCGACGCCTGGCACAATGAGGCCCTGAGGCAAATAAATGACAACCCTGTTTATTGTTTTTAGGGAGATTTCCACAGCGTAGGCCAGGCCCAGGTGACAGAGCCCTATGGTTCCTCCACGGAGCAGCTGAGGGAAAAACGGATGCTCAACATCACACAGCGAGTCCCAGAGCTGGGGTTATAACTCACCACTGCCAGCATGCGGCCCATAGCTCTGATCACGGTACGGTGCCCCCTTTGTACCTTCACTCTGCTTCATTTCCAAGCGCTAGGGACCCAATCCTGCAGGGGGAAGGTCCCATATTTACTTGGCAAAGAAAGCAATCTAATAAATAAATAAGTGAATGAAAACAAGCGTGCGTGTATGTTAGAGGAGGAAAGTTACAGAAAATGGATTTTAGTTTGTGATTTAGATAAACCCTCTGGAAGCTTACATACATTTTGAAAATTATACACAATACCTGTACTCCAGGACCTTTGAACTAAGCCTTTTATGATGATTTAATCAGTGTAGGTTTCTCTTAATGGGCAAGCTTTTATTGTAATCACATCATGATTACGTGAGGCAATAATCTAATGCACAAATAATACCGATTAGTCCAATCGGGAAAGTTTGCTTTTCAGTTCACATTCATAAGGTATACGACAAAAGAGGCATGAAAGAGAGTCATTTTGTTGTTGTGGTCAGGTAGAATTTTGTTCTGTGCAACAAATTCCATGGAAAACGTAATAGCGCTGAAAGTTTTGCCAAGTTCTTCCTTGCCACAGTCTTGGATATCATTGAGTTTAAAAATCATTCCGCCTACAGCCTTGGAGTCTTAAATTCCCACCTGCCTGCAGACAGGGAGGGTCTCTTTCACAGGAACTCAGTGTAATTCATGGTATTGCCCTGCAGGCCAAGAGCAATTGTAAGGCTCTATGGGAGTGTATCTAAGGTAATTCCTATTGTACTTACCATTAAGTCTGCCACCACTTTCCACTGTGGGCTTAATTCTCAGCTAAGTAAGTCAGCTCAGCTCCTTTGACTTATACATGTTCACACAGATCTTTAGCTGGTGCATGTTGTTATAGTAGCACCTAGAGCCCAAGTCATGGATCACGACTCCTGATGTGGCGATCAGAACAAAATGGTTCCTGCCCCCTGGTTACAGAGGTTGGGTTTCCAACTCTTGTGACTTTTATCTTGCGCCTTGCAAGATTTGGTGTGCTTTTTAGCACCCTCGCTGCCAGATTCATGTGATTATGTGAGAATCTCAGCTTTCATTTCCAAGACAGCTTCTAGCCCTGAGTGCTGCAGAGAAAAGCTTTAACAAGGTTGACCCTAAAAGCTCAAAAATCAGGAAACAAAAGTTGCGGGTATTTAGTTTAAAATGTAAAAACAAAACAAAGCATGATACAAAATGCTAAGAGTCCCTGCACTAAAATATTACAAGCTAAGACGGAGTGTGAAAAAGGAAATGGTATCTCCAGTTTGTAGATGGGAAGTTAAAGCCCAGAGATTACGTCACTTGCCCAAGATCCAACAGGATTAAACCCCAGGTGTTTCCAGTCTCTATCCACTGCCGTAACCACAAGACCATCCTTTCTCTCAGATACTGCACCATTATCCTAGTCTCTCAGATATTGGTACCATGATTATCCCCATTTAACAGACAGGCAAAGAGAGGTACAGACACAGGAAGAATTCAAGGTTTCACAGCACATGAGTGGAAGCCCTGGGTCTAGAACTCAGGGTTCCTACCTCCTCGTCTAGTGCAGTGGTTCTCAACCAGGGGTACATATACCCATGGGGGTACTCAGAGGTCTTCCAGGGGGTACATCAACTCATCTAGATATGTGCCTAGTTTTATAACAGGTTACATAAAAAGCACTAGTGAAGTCAGTACAAACTAAAATTTCATAGACAATGACTTAGTTATACTGCTCTGTATACTATACGCTGAAATGTAAGTACAATATGTATATTCCAATTGATTTATTTTATAATTATATGGTAAAATGAGAAAGTGAGCAATTTTTCAGTGATAATGTGCTGTGGCACTTTTGTATTTTTAGGTCTGATTTTTTAAAAGTTTTTAAGTGAGGTAAAACTTGGGGTTACACAAGACAAATCAGACTCTTGAAAGCGGTACAGTCGGCTGGAAAGGTTGAGAGCCACTGGTCTAGTGGACCATGATACCTCCCCACTATTTGATGGGTCTGAGTGGGAATAAAACAAACCTAACCAGCAGTTCCTGGACCAAAGCATGGCCTGCAGTTCCTCCATATTGACACCAATGTAACTTTGACCCCTTGACTTTGATGGCAGTTGTTGTCTTCTTGCTCCAGGCCAGGAGTTTGGCCCATGCTGGTTTTTTGGAGACACTTTCTGTTGTTTGAAAACATTTATCTTCGCAAGCTGAAGCACTTAGGAAAGAAGCGTGCTGCTGATTCGAACAGCTATAACCTGACATTGCTTCCCCTCACCGAACGGGTTTCCACCACCTGAACAGCTTAGGGAAAGCTAGTCTTTAAAATCACTGGCATATGAAACCTTCGCCAAGCAGAGAGAACAGAGTGGGCTTTGTTGATTCCCCTCTGCTACTGCTTCAACAGGAGACAAAGTGCTGCATGGTGGCTGATTTAGAGTATATCTTCTGGCATGTCTGCATTTAGATCAGACCAGAAAAAAATGTGACCGTTATATAACAATAAGTGCTGCAAAGAGAAAGATCTGTGATGGAGCGGCAGGCTAGGCTCAGACCTAGTCTGAATTAATCAGCGGAGGAAGGGTACATGATTGTAGAAAATCAAGCTAGTTGTATGACCCATCTGCAGGATCTAAGTTCACCCCAGCAAACAATTCCATCCAAGGCCTCCATTTAGGCACAATAAGCAATATGCAGACTCATGGAGTTAAATCTTGCCCAGTCATAGACATCCGGAGGGTGTGACTTGCCTTTGGCACACCGGGCTGAGAGTCACCACCTGTCTCCAGTGTGAGGGAATCTAGCCTGTGCCAGCTGGGTGTTCACATCCTAGCTCATCCAGCCTGTCAGACGCTCAGCCAATCTCCTCTGGCGACACCAGCCCCACCTTTGCCCTGCGGGTTGACGGTAAGCGCAACTTAGCCCCTAAGTCACTTCAAAAGTGGTGTCCATCCCCGGATCACTGGATACCCACAGAAGTCCCAGCTCCGCCATTCCCCAAGGAACAGCATGCCCCAGTTTACCAGCTTTACTTTAGACACCACTCCTGTATCACCCACTGCCTTTGAATTCAATTTTATTGAGGAAAGAATAGAGACTCAAACAGAAACAAGTGTGAGTGATGGAAACAAATGGTTACGTACCAAAGAAAATCACAAAACGTGAACTGCAGCCTACGCTTATTAATAGGGACTTTTTCTATCTGATAAAGTAGATTCTCATGAAGCACCCCCATCCACGAAGGTACCTCCTCAGTGAAAGGATCCGGACTGTCCTCCTCCACCCGGTGATGCACTGAATCAGACTTTTGTCTTTATTCACAAGACTGTTATATTGTTCCTTTGCACTTCCAAGTGGTTTGGATGTTTATAGTTTATCTTTAATGGTTTTCCCTTGACTTTTTGGGTTTGGAGTAGACAGTTGAGCAATACGTTACATAATTGGCAAGCCAGGGAGGGATGACAACTTCCTCCTGCTTGAATGGGCCAACGTACCTCAGATGGGTGACCTGTGCGACGTGGCGGTGATGACCCACGCCTTCCGCCTCCTGATGTGCCCGGACCTGACAGTAAGGAGTGGTCAGAAAACGCATCGCCAGGGCCCCCTCCGGGCAGGATGTCGCCACTTACCTCAGCGACTCCCTGGAGGCTGAGTTTGGGAGAGAGGGGGGAGACCTGTCCTCTCTCTGGTCCCGCGCTCGCAATGCCTCGAGATGCCTGGGAAAGAGGATCGGCCGCCGCTGGAAGTGGTGCGAGGAGCGCCGGGAGCTGGGAATACTGGTGCCACGAATAAAGACCCCGGACTACACCATCATCACCCTGACCGCCAGAGCTATGCTGGAAAGGTCCCTGAAAGACACCATCCGCTGCCACTATGCCGAGAACCTCAAGCGGAAGCTGGACCAGGGCAAGGTGTTCGAGGTGTCCAGCAAGTGGGACGCCAGCAACCACTTCCTCCCCGGGGGCAGCTTCACCAGGTTCGCGAACTGGCGGTTCGTCCACAGGACCCGACTCAAGTACGTTCCCCTCAACGGAACCATCCGCCATGGCAACCGGGACAAGCGCTGCAGGAAGTGCGGCTACGCAAACGAGACCCTGCCCCATGTCCTGTGTGGATGCAAACAGCACTCTGGAGCCTGGCGGCACTGCCACAACGCCATCCAGAACCGGCTGGCGAAAGCCATCCCACCGTCCCTGGGGAAGATCACCCTCGACTCGGCCATCCCTGGGACAGACAGCAGACTGCGACCCAACATCGTCGTGACGGACGCAGAAAAGAAGAAGGTCCTCATGGTAGACGTCACGGTGCCATTTGAAAACCGGGTCACCGGCCTTCCACGAGGCCCGAGCATGGAAGGCGTTGAAGTACACCCCTCTGGCCGAGACCCTGAGACCCCAGGGCTATGAGGTGCAGATACACACCCTGATCGTGGGAGCCCTGGGCTCGTGGAACCCCCACAACGAGCAGGTACTGACAGCGTGCGGAATTGGTCAACGCTATGCCCGGCTCATGAGACAGCTCATGGTGTCCAACACCATCAGGTGGTCCAGAGACATTTATACGGAACACATCACAGGACACCATCAATACCACACTGAGTAATGGAGACCGCTGACCAGGGAAATAGCCCACTTCCTTCCCTGACGAACCAAGGGACACACCCCACCTATGTACTCATTCGCTGCACCAATACTGATTTGGACTCCTTATATATTCCATGGGTGGTGTACCCGAGCCCACTTATCCATTGACACTTTAAAAAAACTTTTGTACCCCAATCTGGGTCTATGCCGGTTATGTGATATGTATGTATCTCTTCATCTTTGCAACTGATACCTGTAATCCCTCATAACTCAAGCCTGACCCCAGATGTACAGTACCTTCCCTCTTAACTTGTGTCTATTTAATTTTAAACATTAACTTTAATAACATTTTTAGCTGGTGGCTCCATTTTACTCCAAGATAATAAGGTCCTAATTTCAATATAGTTACATTATTCCTTAAATAGTCCCCGTATGCATATCTCGCAATGATT